ACCGCCACTCCAGCATCTTTGCCAAGGAGACCCCAACCGGGGTCACGGAGAGTGGACAGCCGCGGGACGACGCCCCCCACGGCCTCGTCCCCACCACGCCGCCCCCGCCCCCGCCCCCATTTCCACGCTGCCCACGCCCCCACGCCCCTGGAAGCTTCCCCCTCTGGTGGGCCCCCCGCCCCATATCCCAGGACTCCGGCCCCGCAGCCCGCCTCCGCCTCGGCGGGCCCCGCTTTCCGTGGCCGCTCACCCCGTTTCCGGTCAGCTCGGGGCAGAGAGGGAAACAGATACCCCCAAACGTGACAAAGGGGTCGGGGGGAGGAAATGACGTCAAAGGCACCGCCCAGCCTACCCCCTCGGAATTCGGAAGAGGCTCGCGGCTGAGCAAGGCCTTCTGGGAATCGTAGTCTGGAGGCTGTCGCGCTTTCTGTGCATGCCTGGGGCTCGGCTCCTCCCTGGCCACCAATGCACCGCGCCATCGCGCCCCCTCGTGGCGTCCCCCTGACCTGGGCAGTCTGTCACACACACGGGGAGGGGCGCTGTATTTGGGGAAGGCCGCCCAGGCCAGCCTGACGCCGCGCGAGGGTGGGCAGAGGCGGAAGGCCAGACAGCAGGAGGAGGGAGGGGCCCAGGTGGAGGCTTTTGTCCAGAGGCAGCGGGCCCCGGCATCCTCCTCGGGAGCCACAGGAGCAGCCTGGCCACAGCCGCGCACGAGGCATCGAGGCAGCCCGGGAGATCGGAGCCGCCCGACGGAGCTGGCGGCCTGGGAGAGGGCTGCAGGGCGGGGACGGCTTGGCCCCGGGAGGAGCCGCCGGACTGGCCAGCGGGGGGAGGGTGCACAGTGAAAACGGGCTACAGAGGAGGGCGATGGAGAGCGCCGAGGACTAGCCGTGGTTGTGCACGTGCGCTGTGCGCGCCGCAGAGCGGCTGAGCCTCTGGGACGAGATCCTTCCCAGGAATCGGCCACGAGGGACAGGAGGCTCCCAAAGTGAAATCAAGGGGAGGCCAAGGACAGCAGTGTCACTGAGGAAGAAAAACAGAAGCCGTCTGATGGATGCACTGATGGACAGCTTGCTCACCAGCCCAGGAGTTTCTTCACGGGCAGGACTGCCCAGTTTCCATCTCTTGATTTCTCCTCCAGCTGCAGACATAGCTCAGTGAGGAAGAGTAAATCTTTACAAGCTTGAGTAGCAAACAGGGGCACTCCCAGGGGACACTCACAAAACACCGCCCCTTTCTTAGGACCCACTGGAGCACCAGACCTCACAAGTCTCTCGTGTGACTACTCCAAGTCCAGAAATGCAGGAGGGAAATAAGCTGCTCCTGATTGGAACTACATGTGAACTGCAAAGCAAAGACCATTTATAGCTGTTGTTTGGAGAGTGTAGTGATTTCCAGAAACCACTTTGGACATAGGAAGTTTCAGTCTTGAAAAGGACAAAACAAAACAAAACCCCTCCCATCTCAAAACTATAAAACATGTATGTCCTCCCTTTCTGTTCCTCTGTGGGGGGGAGCAGGAGAACCCGTAAATATGATGCCCCTGGCCAAGTCCAGCCTTAGGTGTCCAAATTTTCCCCTTTCTCCTTCTCCAGAGAGGTCCCATCATTGACAGCAAACACTTGCTCAAAATTTAACAGAATTAGCTGATTTTTTTTCCTCCAGCCAAAACGCATTATAAAAGTGCACACAGCAAATAAACACAATGTAAAAGTAATGTCACTTCACCAAGCAGGATGAAGGGGAGAAGGAAGTGAAGTGGGAAGGAATTCACTCAGCTCCCAAAAGCAGCAGAACATCAACATCCAGTCCTGACACACTGTGCCCTAAGTGAGTCCGTAACTTGCACCAGCCTCCGACCCTGGATTACATTCAGTTTGGGGTAGCAGTTCCCTTTATTTGCTATCAGTTCTCCAAACAGCTCCCAAGCTCCTGCTCCCTCTACCCACTGCAGCTTCCAACTCCCACCATCCTTTGGCCCCTCCTTCTATCTGGGAAAACTATACTTGCTAATAGTCTTCTTAGTAATATGGGACTAGACATTCCCCATTCCCTCCCAACCATCACTTGGTGGGGGACAATAATTTAAAACAAACTTATAAACTTATATATGTCTACTTATATTCAGCAGTAAAAGTCTGCATAGCTGGCATATTTAATGATGACTACTTGACAGGGCCAACTCAATCTCTTGCTTTTCTGCCCCTGATCATTCCAGGGATGTTTGCTGCTGATGCTCAAGTCCTTTCTGCCTCCCCACCAATTTCAGTTCCCCCTCCACAGCTCCCTCTTGTGTGGGTGGACAGCCTGGTCTGTGGTAGCAGGGGATGGGAAGGAAGTGCAAAGGCCCAGGGCCTCTCCTTCATCTGGTCCACCATGGCCATTCCTCTGAATTTATCCTTCTTATTTATTTGTAATCGTTTTCTTTATATTTATTCTATATCTTACAGTGGTCAACACAGTCCACCTAAGGAGGTTTGTACGTGCTCCAAACCCTAATTATGGAATTTTTCAATTTAAAATTATACATTGGCAAGATATCAGGAGACACTCTGGTTTCCAGAGCTAAGGCCCAGCAAGCAAGCTGTGCCCCGAGCTTGGCAAAACAAGAATCCTTTGTGCTCACCCTCTGGCAAAATCCCATAATTGCTGTATTGCTTTGACCAGCACCGGGTGTTCCCTGAGCTCAGGCAAGCTCAGGACAAGCTTGGACAAGTACCCATGTTCCAGTCATAAAGCCCAACATGAATCAAACTTGTATCATTATGGCTGTTACCCCTCATTGTCAGGGCTACAGCTCACTGCCCAGCTGTTGGCATAAATATTGAGATTCCGCCCCCCTCCACTGCCTCAGGTTCCCCCTATTAGGGGCAGGGCACCAACACTTCTGTCTCATTCCCTCTTTCCTTTTAAGCCATTTCCCTCACTTTGAAATTGAACTTTTGTTTGATTCCTGACTCCCTTGCATTTAGCCTGCTCTGTTCAGCATATAGCCACTCACAGGTTAGAGGCCTGTTAGGTACAGTTGACACTTTTATTTTAGCAATTATTTTTCCTTCTCCCTCGATGAACAAAAAAGACAAGAAAAATAAAATTTTCATATCATATATTATCCAAAAAAATAAATTTCCATATTGGTCACATCCAAAAATCTAAATCTCATTCTGTATTTTAAATCCATCACCCCTGTAGAAAGAGATGAGGACCAATCTTATCTTCAGTCCTCTTGAATCATGGTTTAGCTAGGACAATAATTTATAAAGCAGTTGTCCATCTCTTCGAGTGTAGGTAACCTCCACACAGGTGCAGACCAAAACAGACACACAGGCAGTCTTTGCTCTTTCCAACACATTCTCTATACAATGAACAATCTGATATTCCTAAATCACAGATCAGACCATACCATTCTATTCCAAGGATTCAGCAGTTTTCTTACAGACTCTGGGATAAAATATGAACCCCTTTGTTAAAGCCCACCAGGGATCTTTACAAGCTGATTACATATTGCTTGCCCTGCAGAAACATGGGAAGATGCCTCAAAACACTGAAGAGGGGCTGGAAGAGAGCAGCAGCTCTAGAAACTGAGACTGCTGGAACACTTGTGGTTGAGAGGATGGGAGTGCTGGAACAATGGGTTTGTAAGTAGTGATTTGTAGCTCATTGTCAATTCTCTGAGAGAGAAAAGACCAGGTGACTCAATGCCAGGATTGGTCAAGTAGTTGCAGAGCCAACTTCTGGCTGTGTGCATTAGTCCACCAAACCTCCTATTGCCCTAGAGCTCAAGCCTGGACCTCTACAAATTGACCCCCATTGGATTTTGCACCCATCTGGCTAGAAATGGCAGATTATTGGGGAATAGAAAGGCAGACAGAAATCTTCGGATTTTCCCCTGTTACAGAAAGGCTCAAGTCGAGGAGTTCAATAATCTGGTTCATGTTGTAGGTGCTTCCAAATAGTTTTTAATCATTTAAATTAAAAAATTACTCATTTTGAACATTCTTTTCAACATTTTGAGTTCCAAAATTCTTTCCAGGCCCTCCCCCACCCATTGAAAAGGCAAGAAATATATCAAACGTGAAATCATACAAAAAATTTCTATACCAACCACATACAAAAATACGTAAGAAAATGAAAAAGAATTATACTTGAATTTACACTGAGTCCATCAGTTTGCTTTTTGGAGGTGGACAGTATGTTTCATCACGAGTCCTTAAGTCCTGAACAACTGATCATCATTACAATACTGCTATTACTGTTTACAATGACCACCTGGTTCTGCTCCCTTCATTCTATACCAATTCATAAAGATCTTCATAGGTTTTTCTGAAACCATCCCCCTCATTACGCTGTTGTTGCTTAGCGGTTCAGTGGGGTCCCTGATCCCATTTGGGGATTATCTTGGCAAACAAAATAGAGTGATTTTGCAATTTCCTTCTCCAGTGTATTAAAGCGAACAGAACTTAAATGGCTTGTCTAGAGTCAATGAGCTAAAAAGTGTCTGAAGCTGTATTTGAACTCAGGTTTTACTGACTCCAGGCACAGTGTTCTATCCACTAATCCATCTAGCTACCATCTATTGTTTCTGACAGCAAAACAGTAGCCATTACAACCATGAACCACAACTTACCAGCCACTCCCCAAATGAGGAACATCCCCTCAACTTCCAATATTTTGTTGCCACAAAAAGAGCAGCTGTAACTATTTTTGTACATATAGATCCTTTTCCTTTGATCTCTTTGGCATATAGACCAACTAGTGTTATAGCTGGGTAAAAGGGAAGGCACAGTTTTACAGGTTTCGGGGCATAGTTCTGAAACGTTCATCCAAATGACTGGGATAGTTCTCAACTCTACATCAGTGTCCGTATTTTTCCATATCCCCTCCAGAATCGGTCATTTTCTTTATCTATCTTCTTATTATGTTGACCAATCTGATAGGTGTGAGGGAGTACCTCCCAGTTATTTTCATTTGCATTTCTCTAATCAATAGTGATTTGGGGCATTTTTTCCTAAGACAATTGTTAGCTCTGATTTCTTCTTCTGAAAACTCCCTGTTCATATCCTTTGAGCACAATCAAAATCTCACCCTTCTTTTCATATGTCACTGAGTAGATGCCAAGGCCCATAGCTACCTTAAAAGACTATTATTAGTTACTACTGCTGTTGACTGGCACGTCACTAATTCCTTCGCTTTGATATTCAGAACACGAGGCAGAAATCATACAGCATCGATATCTGCTAAAGACCCTTACCAGGCTATTAAAAAATTGATGAGATTCCAAATGTTCCTAGATCAGTAGCTACCCGCATGAATATGAGCAGAAGCAGCACCAGCAACATGAGGAACACAGCTCAGATTATGATACATTCCTCAAGCACCGTCAATAAGTATTTATCATATATCAGGCTCATCTGATAGCCGAGAGGTCATCCATATGCCTAGTGCGTGCATCTGCCCAGGGATCAAAGTTAACATCAAGGCTCTCCCAATAACCACCACTCACTCAGTATCCTCTGGCTCAACCATGAAATCCTCTCCATACCAGAAGGCTCACGGAGGATAACATTAATCTTTCTCCCCTTAGAGGGCTCTGCAGAGGGGAGGGATATTTCCTTCCCTGAGGGCCAAATAAGGACTTTAGAACTTCATATACAGACTCAGAATCATAGACACAGCTATGGGATCCTCGCACACACCTTACATTCTTAAAGGTTATACAGAGTATGAATTCTCTGACAGACATCGGAAGATTATCCTCAGTCAAAACGCCCTCCCACATGTATTACCTTACTCATTAAGTTTCTCTCCAGAACAGATTCGTTGATGCTGAGTAAGTTGTGTCCTCATTCATTACATACATAAGGTCTCGCTCCAATCTCAATGGTCTGATAACTAAGTTCTAAAATCAGGAGAAAGGCATGCCCAACATTCATAAAGTTTCTCTTCAGTATGAACTCTGTGATGTCCAGTAAGTTCTGAGTTGTAGCAGAAGGCCTTCCCACACTCCTCATATTCATAAAGAATCTTCCCAGAATGAATTTTTAATGCACAGCAAATAGTCTTACCCCTGAAGGCCTTTCCAAATTCACTATATTCGTAAGTTTTCTATCCTGAATAAATGTTCAGATGTACAGTAAGTTGTGGCCTCCTCCTGAATGCCTTTCCATATCTGTAAGGACCTGCACCAGTATGAATTCTCTGATGTTCAATAAAATCTAAGTTACGATGGTCTTTCCCCTCCCCTTTATATTCATTAGGAATCTCTCAAGTATGAGTTCTCTGATGGACATAAAGTTGTGCACTGCGTATAAAAGCCTTCCCACATGCACTACATTCATAAGGTTTCTCTCCAGTATGAATTCTCTGATGCATATGGAGGTTTTCCTTCCTCGAGAAGGCCTTCCCACATTCCCTGCATTCATAAGGTTTCTCTCCAGTATGAATTCTCTGATGCACAGTAAGATTTGGCTTCCTGCTGAAGACCTTTCCACACTCACCACATCCATAAGGTTTCTCTCCAGTATGAATTCTCTGATGCACAGTAAGTTGTGTCTTACTCCTAAAGGCCTTCCCACATTCACATTTGTAAGGTTTCTGTCTGGTATGAATTCCCTGGTGCACAGTAAGTTGCGTCTTTCTCCTGAAGGCCTTCCCACATTCACTACATTCATAAGGTTTCTCTCCAGTATGAATTCTCAGATGCACATTTAGACGCGGTTTCCTCCTGAACTTCTTCCCACATACATTACACTCATAAGGTTTCTCTCCAGTATGAATTCTCTGATGTACAGTAATATCTGCCTTACTTCTAAAGGACTTTCCACACTCACTACATTCATAAGGTTTCTCTCCAGTATGAATTATCTGATGCAGAGTAAGTTGTGTCTTACTCCTGAAGGCCAACTCGCATTCGTTACATTCATATGGTTTCTCTCCAGTATGAATTCTCTGATGAAAAATAATATGTGCCTTACTCTTGAAGGCCATCCTGCATTCACTACATTCATAAGGTGTGTCTCCAGTATGAATTCGCTGATGCACAGCAAGACTTGACTTCTTACTGAAGGCCTTCCCACATTCACTACATTCGTAAGGTTTCTCTCCAGTGTGAATTCTCTGATGTAGACGAAGTTCTGAGTTGTAGATGAAAGCCCTCCCACACTCTTTGCATGCATAAAGAATCTTTCCAGTATGAATACTCTGATGCACAGTAAGTTGTGTCTTATTCCTGAAGGCCTTCCCACATTCACCACATTCATAGTATTTCTCTCCAGTAAATCCTTTGTTCCCTGAAAGTAAGGATAAAGGCCTGATTAACTCTTAATTTTCTTCCATTTCCCAAGGCTCCTACTTCCTCCAGAGGTTTGAGAGAGATTCTTGTGTGTTCCCACTTGAGAAGACTAGTCTCACTACTCTTTCACTAAGGATCCCAATTTACCTTATATGAAAATATGAGGACTCAAAATTAACATATAAATGAATTGACTTAGAATGAAATTACCTGGAAAGATTAATAAGATGAATTTATTTTAAGGTAAATGGTTGACATTTGAGTGGAATAAGGAAATGAAAGTGTATCCTTAATAACTAGATAGCTGAGAGGTTTCAAAAGTAGCCTTAAGGCAGCTAGGTGGCACAGTGGAGAGAGTGCGGGGCCCAGAGTCAGGTAGACTAACCTCTCTGAGATCATCTCAGGATTCAGTGCCTAGCTGTGTGACCCTTAGCAGGTCATTTAACCATGTTTACCTCAGTTTCCAGACATAAAAGCCAAACCACTCCATTATCTCTGCCAAGAAAACCCCTAATTAGGTCATAAAGAGTTGGAGACAACCAAAAAATGATTAAACAACCAAAAATGCATCCTTAACATTTAAAGTAGAAATGGGAAGGGAAAACACTGAGTAGAAATAAAAGGAGAATTGATAAGCTTAGCATGAGGAAACTAAGAGTAATTTGTAGAACAGAAAAAACTTGAGGAAAGAGTCATATTGGAGAATTTTTGCCATAAAGATCAGTTAAAAATCCAACATATCTACTGTGGAAGGAATGGATTAAATTTGTAAGACTAGGATCCAGTTTCAAAAAGATGAATAATGAAGACACACAGACATTACTCACAAGGCAAAATATGAATAACTACCTGAAACAATACTGAAACTCTAGTAATCAAAGAAGTAAAACTCAAACAATTTGAAGATATCACCAAATACTCATCAGACAGGAAAAGACAAATAAAAAATTTTCGAAGTTATGCTGAAATAAGTACTTATTAAACTGCTGATGCCATTTTCCTGAAAAGCAACAAAGTACCTTAAGCTTTAGCTAAAACTTCATAACTAATAACCCAATGGTTCTTCTACTAGGTCTACATACTCAAAATGTTACTGAAAGCAAAGACATTTCTCAAAAATATTCACCATATACCACATCACACCTATCAGATTGGCCAACATGACAAAACAGGAAAATGATAAATGTTGGAGAAGATGTGGGAAAATTGGAACACTAATGCATTGTTGGTGGAGTTGTGAAATGATCCAACCATTTTGGAGAGTAATTTGGAACTATGCCCAAAGGGCTATAAAAATGTGCATACCCTCTGACCCAGCAATACCACTTCCGAGGGCTGTATCCCAAAGAGATCATACAAATGGGAAAAGAACCCACATGTGCAAAAATATTCATAGCAGCTTTTTTGTGGTGGCAAAGAATTGGAAATTGAGAGGATGCCCATCAATTGGGGAATGGCTAAGCAAGTTGTGGTATATGAATGTAATGGAATACTATTGTGCTATAAGAAATGATAAACAGGCTGACTTCAGAAAAACCTGGAAAGACTTACATGGTCTGATGCTAAGTGAAGTAAGCAGAACCAAGAGAACATTGTACACAGTAACAGCCACGTTGTGTGATGACTAATATTGATAAACTTAACCCTTCCCAGCAATACAAGGTTCTAAGACATCTCCAAAGGCCTCATGATGGAAAATGCTATCCACATCCAAAGAAAGAACTATGGAGTTTGAATTGCTATTTTTTTCTCTTGAGTTTTGTTTCCTCTTTCTGGTGGTTCCTGCTATTGGTTCTAATTTTTACTTACAACATCACCAATGTGAAAATATGTTTAATAGGAATGTAAATGTATAGCCTATATCAGATTGTGTGCCATCTTGGGGACGGTGGTGGGGAGGAAGGGGGAGAAAAATTATAAACTCAAAAGCATATGGAAGTGATTGTTGATAAATCAAAATAAATTAATAAAAAAAATATTCACCATAGGTGGCGCAGTGGATAGAACACTGGCCCTGGAGTCAGGAGGACCTGAGTTCACATCCAGCCTCAGACACTTGACACTTACTAGCTGTGTGACCCTGGGCAAGTCACTCAACTCCACACACACACACACACACACACATATTCACAATAGCTTTTTGTGAAATAGCAAATTCTATAGGTCTAATGATGGTGTCATGGCTAAACAAATCCTGTCATAGGAATGTATTATTCTGCCGTGATAAACATAATTTCAAAGCATAAAGAAAAACAAGATGACATATAACATGATAGGCTGACAGAAGGAGAATTAGGTTAGGATTAAATATTTTATAAGGTAACAGCAGCAGAGAAACATAAGCATCAAGCAAAAGAGAAGAAATATCCGAAGAGAACAAAAAAGTCAAAAGGGCATATTGTTAATAGAGTAAATGATGTGTTTACTTTAAGAGGGAGAATGTATTCATGCAACTGAGGCAGGAGAATGCCTGCTTAAAATAGGATAATCTTCAACGAACAGGACAGAAATACCTATCCCACACTGAAGCAACCACTTGTTTGGAAAGTGTAGGTCCATGTGAGTAAAGAAATGCATAAAAAAGTAACTTCTTGAATAAAAAAAATGACATTTTAAAGTCTCCACTCTTCTCAATAGGCCTGAGATGCTTTGATAAGACCACTTTGTTCAACATTTTATAAGAGCTTTGACCTACAATGACCAACAGAGCAGTATTTTCCAATGACAGTCACCTGGACAGCTGCTTCTTGGAATATCTGCCTCTGGCATCCAAGTTGCTTCCTTTCTTTCCAACTGGTAGATGACATGTGGTTTGGAAACAGCAAATCCTGTCAGTTGAAAATGAAAAAGTGCTAGGTACAGTCATCTCAGAATTCAATCACAGAACAGAGAGATAAAATACTCCTCTCAACTCTTTGTATAAAAATGGGGGAAGGAAGGGAAAAAATTTACTTTCCACCATCTAAAGCACTGTCCTTGTTAGCTGATTTTGTCTGTGATTATTTTTTTTTCAACAAGGGAGGGCTTAAAAGCCTAGATGGAAGGAGAGGCAGGATTTGTTTTCTTTTCTTTTGTTTTTCTGTAGTAGGGAGGGAAGGAGAACTTACTTTTTTTTTTAAATAAGCATCCATAAAACTTAATCAAAGACTTCAAAACTAGTTCAAACTCTCCTTGGGAAAAAAGTAAGCATGCTAGGAAAATCCCAAAGATAGTACAAAGGACGAATGAACAATATTCTATTACGTGGGAATGGGTTAGAGTAGGACTAAGGAAAAATAGTACATTAGTCTCTGCATAGACAATGGCAACACTTTGTATATGATGAAACCTACACTGGGATTAAACAAAGTCTTGGATTTGAAGCAAAAGAGAAGGGAAGATACATTCTCAAGGATAACAAATCAATAAATCAATTTCCAAGCATAGTAAGCAAAGACTTTTATCCTGGAAACAGGAATCATGAGTACGGCCTCCTGGCCTACTCAAGGACTAGGGAATATCTTCTTCTGTATGCCAAGAAATACAAATCTTAAAATCCTGAAAGTCAACATCATATATACCAGGACTACAAAGGGGAAGCCGGTCTTACCCAAAGACACCAAGTTCCTATAGTTCTCCAGCATCACATCCCTGTATAACTTTTTCTGAGATGGGTGCAAATGTTTCCACTCCTCCAAAGAGAATTCCACAACCACATCCTGGAATGTCACTGATACCTGAAAGACCAAAAGTATTTGTACTTATGCAGGTATAACTCTAATTGTTATGAAGTTTCAATATAACTTCCTTGTCAATAGGAATTATTTCAGTTGCTTATCTATAATCCAGTACAATGACTATGGCATTAACAGCCACTTCAGTAAAATTCCCCTCTCATTGGACTGTAAGCTTCTTGAGGGCTGTGGCCAGGTTTGCTTTCTTTGTATCCTCACAACTTTGCAGACAGGTTGCTTACGGATCCAATGACATCCATTTTAAATGTATGTGGGTTTTGTTTTTTTTTTGCTTTTTTCATAGTGAACATGATTGTGTTCAATGCTCCTGGAACCATAAGAGCAAAGGTAAGCGTGGGGGACTACCATCTCCTATCTGCAACATTGTGGGAAAATGTTTTGCAGCTGAAAAGGATGTTAAAGGACCATTGCTTTCCAATTCATATATTTAGAACTGAAAGAGACTTGACAATCCAACTTTCTCATTTTACAAATTAGGGAAGTGAGGCCCAGAGAGAGAAAGTAACCTGCTGAAGCACTCCAAATCCAGAGACATTTTCATTACCATGCTGTCATACCCTTTTTCTATAACCTGAACAAGGCCACAGGTGAGTTTATACACAAAAGCATTCATAAGAGCACACCTGGGGGACAGCAAAGAACTGGAAACAATCTGAATTCTCACCAGCAAAGAAGAATTACCAAAAAATGGCATATGGATTTATTATACAGTTTCAAATGACAAATACAAAGAATTTTGAATAGCAATGGAAATGTAAATTAACTGATACAACGTAAAATAAGCAGAGCCAACAGAACATTATACACAAAGACTACAAAAAATATATCTTCTAAAAAGAAAAAGATGCTGAACTCTGAGTAATTTGAAAAAATGTTACTGTTTGTAACAGCAGACAAGATGGAGACCACTAGAGAAGGGCATGTTTTCTGAATTATCTGGAAGAGTCACTATGATTGGTATTTTTATGTAACTCTGTTTCTTTGCTATAAAGAAAGGTGAGGGAAAGAAAACTTTTTCCACAAATGACTGTGGTAAATACCAAAAAGCACTGCAGGAAAAAAAAAAATAAAACAGTCTTTTCTAATTGCTCACTAACCAACTCATTAAGAAAGTATTCTAGGAATGTGCCAGAGTTGGAAGTCACTGGCCTAGGCTTTGCAGAATCCACTGCCTCTTTTTTCAGACTGGGCACAAGACCCCTCTCCAGTTCTGTGGCACCAACCCTATTCTCCAAGGACCTGTAGGGATACCTGAGAACGGCTAAGCAATCAAACACATGGCACACTCCTTTCAGAACAACTGGATCTTGTCTATCTCCCTTTACCTTGAGCATCCACTTCTCGTTGCCAACCTGGGGGCTCTCAATCCCACTTCAAAGATCTTCATTTTCCAAAGAAAAAACTAAAGCCAAGCAAGAGATGACTTGTTTAGCTTTCTCTCAGGCATCCCTCCTTACGGTCATCCCATCCACCCCTAAACATGGTCCGCACTATTCTTTGATCTCTTGCTTGCCTCCAAACTAACTTTTTTCATCTTTTTTTTTTTTTGGTAACATTTATCACCGGATACCAATCACCTGAATCAGATCTTTGGGGGCTTTGGTGTCTTTCCACTGATTTTTTTACCTAGTGCTATTTCTTTTTTATTCCTCTTCAGTTAATAGTACTTAAAGCCATTTTTATTATCAAGATTAGTTAGGCTTCCAATTAATCAGCTATTAACAATTACAGCTGAGTCTCAATTACAAGCCTTGTGACACACAGTCTGGTGTTCTTTTCTTTTTACTTTGCAGCCTCTTACTCTTTAATTCAATTCATGTTAATGTAGCAGTTCCCCAAAAAGTAGATTTGAATCAAGGGCTCAGTCTTAAACTTCTAGTATACATTAGATAAAAAGATATGAACTATTGGGGTACTAGAAGGATCACTCACACCAAAAAGGATTCTTCTTAACCATCCTCCTTGAGTCCCAGGAAACAGGGATACTCTTGACAAAAATCTATTTTCTAGCACTCCTACTTCCCCCACCACCCTGGGAAAGAAAGATGAATAAAATCCATGCAATGAATACATACACACACACACACACACACACACACACACACACACACACACACACGAGTTCTTAAATATTTCAAGTTTGTCTCCTCCTTCACTCTTTAATTTCCTTCCATTATTACATGCAAAAACAACTTTAAATATTCATTAAAAATTTTTTTTCAATTCTAAATTCCCTTTAAACACTGCCTCTTCAATAGTTCTTTCTCCAAAAGTAGAAAGCATTTCCCCCCATAAATCCTCTGGAATTGCACTGGATCATTGATTGCTAAGTCATTCACAGCTGATTATTTTATAATATTGCATTTACTTTGTAGGATATTCTCCTAGTTTTGCTCATTTCACTTTGCATCAGTTCGTGTGAATCTTTCCCAACACAATGGTATTCCATTACAATTCTATATCACAGTTGTTCTGCTTTTTCACAATTGATGGGCATTCTCTCAATTTCCAATTCTTTGACACCACAAGAAGAGCTGCAATAAATATTTGTGCACATACAGGTCCTTCTCATTGTTGTTTTTATCTCTTTGGAATACCGCCCTAGTAGTGATATTGCTGGAACAAAGGGTATGTATGCACAGTTTCATACCACCTCGGGCATATTTTTAAATAAACATTCACAATGTAAACAAGGAAATCATACTATACTGAAAGAAACTACTGATGACAAACCAGTATCAATACTAAATGTTTATGCTCCAAATCTCTTACCATATAAACTTATACAAGAAAAATGAGCATGTCATAATTGAACATGTCAGTCACAAAAACAACAGAAATCATGTGTTTATATAATGGCCAAAGAAAAAGCTACTGACAAAATACAACAGCCATTGCTATAAAAAACACTGGAAAATACAGGAATACAAGGAGCTTTTCTTTAAATAAATAGTATCTCTCAAAAACCAAGAGCAAGCATTATCTCTAATGGGGACAAACTAGAAGGTTCCCTAAAAGATCAGGGGTGAAGCAAGGATGGCCATTATCAACACATTTACTCAATATTGTACTAGAAATGCTAACTGTAGTAATACAACAAGAAAAAAAACCCTCAAGGAATAAGGCAAAAAACAATACAGAAGTATCATACTTTGCAGGTGATGTGATGGTATACTTAAGGGAACCCTAGATAAGTAACTAAAAAACTAGTTGTAATAATGAAGAACTTTACCAAAGTTGCAAGATATAAAATGAATCCACATAAACCTTCAGCATTACTATATATTTCCAACACACTCCAGCAGCAAAAGATAGAAAGAAGAATTCCATTTAAAATAACAGAGCCAGTGCAAAATACATGGGAGTCTATCTGCCCAGACCCACCCAGGAACTATATAAACATTATTACAAAACACTTTTCACACAAATAAAGACAGATATAAACAATTAGAGAAATATTAATTACTCCTGGGTAAGCTGATCCAGTATAACGAAAATGAAAATTCTACCTAAATTAATACACTTATTCTGTACTTTACCAATGAAACTACCAAAAAAATTTTTGCAGAGCTAGAAAAAATAATAAATATTATCAGGAAAAACAAAAAGTCAAGAACATCAAGGGAATAAAAAAAAAAACGTGTGAAGGAAGGGAACCTAGCATAACAAATTTCAAACTATATTAAAAGGAGTAATCATCAAAACCATCTGGGAAGGGCTGAGAAATTCAAGGGTTGATCAACGAACGATATTAGGTACACAACATACAGAAGTAAAGACCCTAACAATCTAGTGTTTGATAAACCCAAAGATCCAAGCTTGTCAGGTAAGAAGTCTCCATTTCACAAAACTTGCTGGCAAAACTACTAAACACTCAGGCAAAAACAGGCATGGACCAATATCTCAAGTCATATACCAAGATAAAATCAAAATGAGTACATGATTTAGACATACAAGGTGGTATCATAAGCAAAGTAGGCAAGCATGAAAAATGTCCCTGTTAGATCTATGGAAAAGAATTATCACTAAATAAGAGATACAGAGGATCACAGGATGTAAAATGCATAATTTTGATTAAATGAAATTTAAAAGTTTTTGCCAAAATAAAACCAATGTAGCCAAAATAAGAAGGCAATCAGGAAAATGGAAAAAGGTTCTACAGCAAAGTTTTTCTGATAAAGGACTCATTTCTCAAATATATAGGAAACTGAGATAAATATATAAAACTCAGATCTATTTAGCAATTAAAAAACAGGCAAGGGATATAAAGAGGCAGTTTTCAGAAGTTAAAGTCATCAATAGTCTTATGAAAAAATACTTGAAATCACTAATAATTAGAGAAATGCAAGTAAAAACAACTCAGAGACAACACTTCACAACTATCAGATTGCCTAATCTGACAGAAAAGGGAAATGATAAATACTGGAAGGGATATGGGGAAAATAGGGACGCTAGTGCACTATTAGTGGAGTTGTGAACTGTTCCAACCATTCTTGGAATACAATTTGGAACCATGCCCAAAAGGCTATAAGAGTGTGCATACCCTTTGACTTAGCAATCCCTCTATTATGTCTTTATCCCAAAGAGATCAAAGACAAAGGGAAACGACCTACATGCACAAAAATATATAGAGCAGCTTTATTTGTGGTGGCAAAGAATTAGAAATTGAGCAGATGTGAGGGAATCATTTAAGATTGCAGGGAAGAACTCCTAGGACTTTGGGTAATTCCAGGAACTGACCCCTTTCTGAAATAATAGTAAGTGAAATTTGAGGGAATTCAGGGGATTAGGACAGCAAATGGTTAATTGTGGGAATTGAGTGAACCACACTGACTCCATCTTGTGTCTGAATTCTGGAGCTAGCTTAATTTCCATCCAGTTTTTGGTTTTTCTATTCCAATTGCTGTCTTGTGAGAAAACTTCATTCATCAGTGGCAATTCAAAAACCTTATCTCATCGTTTGACCCAAGCTCTTCCTGGCTGGTAATCTGGACTACCTCTCCTTGCTGCTTAGAGCCCCTTAATCAAGAACTTACATGATGCTGATCAGAATCCCAGTCAGATCCAAAGAGTGATGTAAGGAGATTCTCACAGTCTTACTTCTCAAGCAATTCATATGTCTTATCTGAAAACTGGCCCCATGTTCCTTTAATTGTTTACAAACACCTGGGGGAAACAGAACATCTCTTTTTCTGATTTCAGGCCACTGCACCTGGTCATCTCCCTTTCCCAACTTGTAAAGTTCCTAATCTTTCAACCAATTAGAAATCAGATTACCTCATGGTGTAATTTTCCTTTTAATTAACTGACCTTATTTGATTAATTGTTTTTAAAAGTCTATCTCCCCCTGTATTCAGGGTCCAGGCATAATGTGAGGAGGTCTGGTCCTGGTTTCTTCAAAAAACTAACATACACTGCTTAATGAATCACTATGTTCAGAAGGTCAAACCACTGTTTCCTTGGTCATTCATCTTTCACCCACCACAGATGCCCATCAGTTGGAGAATGGCTGAACAACGTGTTGGATATGATTGTGAGGGAATACTATTGTATACCAAGAAATGACAATGGTGAGGGAGGCTCCGAAACGCTTGAGAATACTTTGATAAACTGAGGCAAAGTGAAATGAGCAGAATCAGAACACTGTGGCCAGTAAAGCCAATATTGTAACAATGATCAACTGTGAAAGACTTGGCTACTTTGTACAACACAATGATGCATGAAAATTCCAAAGGATTCAAGATGAAAAATGAAGAGAGAACTGATGAATTGTAAAGGCAGATAAACGATTTTTTTTTCACTTTTTAAAATTCTAATGTCTTTTTAATTCTTTTTCCAATGTGGCTAATATAGCAATGTTTTCTGTCTTCACATACATAATGAGTATCTTGTTGCTTGCCTTGTCAATGGGTAGGGAAGGGGCTGGAAAAAGGGATAGAATACGGAATCTAAAATTTAAAAATGAATGTAAATTTTAGGGTAGGTGGTGTTGGATAAATAGATTATAATCTATGGTATCTTTTAGCTCTAAATACATGATTCTCTGATGCCCATAATTTCTAGGGTTGTAGCACAGGACAAAGAAACCCATCTCCCAGTCTCTGGCCTGAGATGCTATTTCAGGAAAGCAGTAAGTGGCACTCACCTCCCCCGGCCTGGCTGTCAGGACAGGAGCCATTCCCTTTTCCTCCAGGCTGTTCTCCTGGGGCAGAGCAGAGGCCACCGAAGGTAGAGCTGGGGAGGAAAGGAGAAGCAGGAGAATGAGGGGTCACGCTGGGGGGGTCTGCCCTGCTCAGACCAGACATTGTCACTTCTCCACTGTGGGGAGATCAGGGAGGGGGGCAGGGGTTGGGGGCAGGGGTGGGAGGGGGCCAGAAGGAATTGGTCACTCCTCTCCTGGGGGGGCCATAAGGAAGCGTTCACTTCTCTCCTGGGGGGATGGGCCCAGAAGGAAGAGGTCACTCCTCTCCTGGGGGGAGGGGTGGGAGGGGGCCAGAAGGAAGTGGTCATTTCTCTCCTGGGGGGGCCAGAAGGAAGCGGTCACTCCTTTCGGGGGGGGGGCTGTCTCGGGGCCAGCATCTCCTGACCCTTTCAGCAGGGCAGGGCACGGGTCACCAGGGACATCGCAGCCCCCTCCAGGGACATCGCAGCCCCATCCAGGGACACAGAAGAACCAGGACTT